GTGATGGAGAGTGTGCTTATGGTGCGATAACGAAAGACACTAGAGCATTGTGTCAAATTCAGGATCAATTCTATAAATGCATGTTGTAGAGCAGAGGTGTCAAGATTATTTTGGTTGAGGGCTGAATGAAAAATGAAAGGGCTGGTCAGGGGCCGAAAGAATAAGTGGGTTTCATTTATTAAACTTGTTTTATAATATGAACGTATCTGTATAAATGACTTGTTTCACATTAGTTAGATTCTTTTCTGAATTTGAATTAGTTCAGTGTCTGCGAACCAAAAACTGAACCTAAACTGGACCAAATATTGAAGGTATAAAGGAAGATTTTCTATTTCTGTGTGGATCATCAAGACGATTGGTCCTCCCAACTGTCATTCATTCTGGTGGTTCATGCTCGTCAAATTAGACCAGAGAGTTTTGTTCAAAATGTGGAGAGGGCGGCTCTTTCCTAAGAAAATTGTGAAAACCTCTGAAGAAGATGACAAAGTCTGGGATCGTGACTTTAATTCAGACAGAAGACATGTTTTAATGGCAATATACAGCAGGAGAAACGTAGACGTCCAATCAGCAGCTGCCACGGTGCCAGTGGCTTCAACCTTCAAATAACCAAAACATCAAGTGGAAAAGTACAGGCTTCTGCATATGTAAGAATGAAGAATTAGAACTTTAACCATAGTTACCTCAAAGTGACATGAAATCTCACACCTCCTTCATATCTATAATAAGAAATATATATATTGAAGACTCGTAAATAAAACAAAACTTAACAATACTAACTTCTAATTACATGTTGACTTAATATTACTTATGGAATTTGTGGTTGTTTTCTTGAGAAAATTAGTAATGGATAACATGTCATTGTCGCCTAATACCATCAATGCTGCTATTTAAAATAATCATTTAAAATCATCTAAAATAATCTCAGGGGCCACCGGAAATGGTCTGGCGGGCCGGATCTGGCCCCCGGGCCTTGACTTTGACATCTATGTCGTAGAGAGTGAGGTCGTGTAATGCAGGCTGCCAAACTGCATTAAAAGGCATTTTAGTGAAGAATATTCTGGTAAAAGCGGCGGAGAGGCTTGTTTTGTCTTTCAGGTGACATGGGAAAAGAAAGTTAATTTGATCAGGGAAATCATGTTAAGATTTGTTTTGTTTTTTGTTAACAGCAGAAAAGAAAGGCAGTTTGCTGAAAATCTCCCATTTGGTAAATCCTGACAATTTAGATTTAATTTGATGACTGGGTAACTGTCGCTCTGTTAAAGTGGGAGAGGAGGAGACCTGCTGGGAAGGCTAATCTCAGAGCACAGCAAGGGACAAACTGGACAAGCACCAATTTGAACACGGCCATGAGGGGAGTATTTTGATCACAATAATACACCCTCAAAGAAAAATTAAATCTCTGATAAAGCGGGGATACAACAGAAGCGTCTCCAAAAAGCCTCTCTTCAAACCTGCTCAAAGACAATGACAAACAACATGCTAATCTAGTCCAAATTGATCATAAAACGTTTAATGCAGTAGATTTTTCTGTCGTTGTTTGGCATCATATTCAGACTTATAAATTGTGTTTTGTTTGTGGAAGTCGCTCTTGTCTGGGAGTGTCAACGTTATAACATAATACAGTATATTCTTGTTCAATGTATGTATGTTTGCAAATTTACAAGCCTTTATGGACATCCCGCTTAGACAGTAAATATTAACAGACATAGTCACGCCTATCTGCGCAGTTGAAACTAACGTGCCACCACTTTTGCCTCCTATGGGCTTTTTCAAAATGGCCACGGGGCAGGAAAATGTGAAAAAAACCAGTATTGCCGACACTAGCGCCATTCATTTAACGAGTGCATTCAAAAGTCCACAGCGGCTAAACAAGACTGGTCAAAAAAAAATTTCTCTTCATCATCAACAGCATCTGGAACTTAGTGTTTGACCAAGAGCAACTTTTGGACCATCCTGTAAAGACGTTTTTGAGAGGAAAGAAGACGCTATACAAAAGCATGGGGTAATTCTCTTTCCGGGTACACCCCCACCACTGGTCTGGAGCGAGATTGCCACATGTCAGTGCACGTGCTCATGGACCTTTTGGACCCGGGATCCGCCCCCACACTGGTTTGTTTTTAGTCAAACCCTTTAATTCTCTGATCTGTGTATGTTTGTGTTATAGGACAATCATTAAGCTCTGGGAAAACGGAGGTTGGTTTGAAATAATAATCATCATAAAAGCAGGAAAATAACCAGAAATATGGGCGGCACGGTGGCTGAGTGGATAGCACTCTCGCCTCTCAGCAAGAAGGTCCTGGGTTCGAATCCCAGTCGGACCAGGGCCTTTCTGAGTGGAGTTTGCATGTTCTCCCCGTGTCTGCGTAGGTTTCCTCCGGGTGCTCCGGTTTCCCCTACCACTAAAAATATGTCCAATAGTTCTAGCATGTGCCTCCTGTACTGGCCCCGCTCCCATCTCTGTGTGGAGTGAGAGACAAATGCCCAAAAAATTAACAATTGTAAACCGCTTTGAGACTCAGATCTGCAGTGAAAAGGCGGTATATAAATAAAAACTTACTTACTAAATACCTTAACCACAGAGAGTATTCACGTCCCCAGAAACATTTCAAAGATGAGGTTGAACTTTGCGACTTGCTGCAGCGTGGACATGATTTGAGTTCGTCACAACCTAACAGCAGAATTTCTCGAGCTCATTTCAAAAGTCAAAGTGTTCTTTTTCCATTTATGCTTTGTGAAATGTCACTGCCCTGTTTAGGCCCACCCAAGGGAGCGTCGAAAGTCACGCTATCTCACAAAAATGAGCTATCGACTGGAAGAAAAGGTCTAGTCAGCGTGAGAGTCCACCCAGATCTGACCGAGGTGAAAAAAGTGTGAGATTAAAAACCCATTTGTGCCGAGTCTGAAGATCCGACTCCATTTTCAGTAGAGACTAAAGACCGGTTATATGATCCAGAGGAATAGAGAGTTTTGTTATCCGTCCCAGGCCTTTCCACCTGAGGAGATAGTCATTTAATCAGACACTCAGATTGTATCTTTTATGACAGTGAAATAAAGCATTGCCGCCGAAAAAGCTCAAAAGTGGAGCTGAATTTCCCACTGAGCAGCGACAACAGCGGTGGGGACTGCACAAGACTCCGGGTTTTGGCTACAAGAGAACGAGATACAATTTTCACATTCATGCATTTTGCTTGATGTGCTGCACGTCCAGGAGCGATCCGTGTTATTTTCAAAAGTTGTTACCTGGACCAAGTTTTCTGCAACATTTCTACTGCCATCAAAAAGTAAAAACCTTTCAGATAGATTGTATTTAGAAGTCTATCCTCTCCTCCTTTCTGCTTTATCTGTCATCTGCTTTATCTGTTATCTGAGCGACAGTGGCTCAGTTGTCTGCTGTCGTTGTGTTTTTGGGCAAGATACCTAACCCCACTTTGCCTGAAGCCCCCGCTAAAAGATCAAAGCTCCTGTGGACTCAGCACCTGCAGGAGGATCAGTGAGGGGCTGGTGCTCTGTGGACTCAACCCAGAAATGGATGGATGGCATTATAACTTTGACTGTAGTCTGTTTATTGCTATTCACCCGCTATCCCATTGTCTGTTTCATGTCTTGATGATGGGACCCCTGAACCTGGTCTCCTCCATCGGCACCTGCGGACTGTCCTCCCCGGCCCGCCTGAAGCTACCTCAGTCCTGCCCTTGTTCTGCAGCCCTCCTCCTGCACTGTGTGGCCTTTGGTCCTCGTTGTACAGTCTGAGTCCTGGATCTACAGCCCGTCGGTTCGTGTGGAGCTGATTCCTCTCTCAATGTGGTTCTCCCCGAGGTTTCTCACTTTTCTCCCAGTGGGTTATAGAGTTTCTCCTCTGATGCAGATGGACTGTGGTGATGATCCAGGACATACATTCTACATTCAACCGTATTAATTGACATTTATCAACATTTATGGACATTGGTATCTGCCCCTAAAGGGCCAATGGCTCTATGTGTTTTCATCATTGCTTGTGCTTGAAAAGTTTAATTCTCTGATCTGTGTTGGCGAGTTCAAAGGTTTTGTGAAGTCCTTCGAGATGACTACTGTTGTGATTTAGAGCTGAATTAATCTAATCATATCAAAACAGCAGGATCTGGGTCTGGCCCCTGAACTCAGAATAGCTTGGTAACACATATCTCTATAAGTTTCCCCTCTGTGGGCAGTATAAAGGATCTCTTAATCTTAATCTAGATCTAATTTCTGCTCTCAAAACCCATTTAAATCAGTGCCTTACTAGAAACATGGATCACATCTGGAGTTAGAGTTGAAATCAAAGCCTATGGTTGGTAGCAGGTTACCATAAGACTTATTAAACTTTACAGTGTGTGGTGTGGAGTCTTGAGAGTAGTGCCCTCTACTGGCAGCTTTATGCATTGCTTTTCAAATGCACTGACTGAAGTTTTTCCGAAGTGAAAAGTATGTTTGCACCTTTTTTCGGCTGCTCCCGTACACACAACTATAACCGCAATCTCCAAGAAGGGAAAGGAAATGTGCGACGTGTTATTCCCAAACTAATGAGTGTTGTTTTTATCCTGCATACACACCTCTTTAGCAAACATTAGACAAAATAACATGGCTTTGACTGTAACGTTATGCCTGTTCCTATTGGTACTATGTCATAATCTGAGTTCAAATGTGTTTAAATAGACAATGTATGTATAATTTCACTTGTATCATGCGTTGCTGAGCGGCGTTGGAGAGTCCGCATGAGAAGACAAACTTGCAGAGAGTCACAAAACAAAGAAATGCAAGCAGAGAACAGAGGAGGCGGGACTTCTCAGCCTTCTAAATCCCAAACCCGCGCTCATTGGCCACTTCCCTGATCTCCTCCTCGCTCATTGGTCCGTGCCGCTGTCGGTCCCGGCTGCGCTTCTCCGTGTCGGCTTTGGGATCTGGGACCACATCCACTGAAACAAACCGTGTGTGAGAGTGGAGAAAAGTTTCTGCTGGAGTTTCCACACACTTCAGACGGCCACATGAAGGTAAGACCGCGCCACAAAGCCGCGGTGCACACGCGTAAATGACGTCGCGAACGCAGATTGCCGCGGCCGTGCGTTTTTTTTGGATAAAGGTTTGACCCAAATAAGAAGTGGATCTTACAGGCCAAACTTTGCCTTTATTATTATGCATTGACAGCGTATGACCTGCATTCATTTATTAGTGAGTTCTTCTGATGCGTTTCTCAGCTCAAAGTTCACCAAAAAAGAAGAAGGCGACAAAAGTATCTGAACTACTTTGAACTGGAGTGACAGAGTTCGTCATAACGGAACTCCCACGGTCTGCGCCGTTTGCATACACTGAAAAAAAGTAAAATCTTGGTCAGAATTATTTACTGAAAATAACATGAATGGTGCTTATTTTCAATGGCAAGTTCTTATTTTTTGCTTGAATGTAGTTTGTCTTGTAAGATTGTTTTACTAGTTTTAAATCACTTCATTATCTTGAGAAAAAAGTCGTAGCAGTGAGTTTTTATGCTTGTTTTAAGTATTTTTTTCTTGTTGTTTAGACAAAATAAGTATGTTATGCTATATTTTAATTAAAAAAATCTCAAAAATGTTTAAGAAATAAGTATATAATACCTTACATTTATGTTTTTAAAGTAGAATCAAGACATTTGGGGCCAGTATTATTTTCTTATTTTAAGCAGTATTTATCAGATTGATCGATATGTGCATTAGTTTAAATGACTCTCTAAAGTCTGGGCCGTCCTAAACCTGCAGTAAAGAGCATGTATCTGTGTCTAAGGTTGTGTGGCTCACAAATCCAATTTAGTTTGCAGTCATGCTGCTGCTCAGGCATCCTGATTAACACAAGCAGAATCATTAGTCCTCACTGCCCTCAACTATAGCGGGCTCTGTAATCCACGTTTTATTGCAGAGACATTACTTTGTGATGGTCTGGTTCTGCCCATTAAACCATGCTTTTGCTAATTGCCTTGTATATAAGTATGTATAAAAGTTCTCCACCGACTCCCACTGATGACTGCTGTCGTTGTGTCCTTGGGCATGACACTTAACCCCACTTTGCCCAAAGCCCCAACTGAAAGATCTCAGCTCCTGTGGACTCAGCACCTGCAGGAGGATCAGTGAGGGGCTGGTGCTCTGCGGACTGGGTGCATCTCTGACTGCCACCCCCTGACCCAGAAATGGATTAAGGGGAAGAAAATGGATGGATGGATGAATGGACAATGCTATGTAAACCCTGCATGTATGAAATTAAATTAGTGTGATGTGTGGTTAGGCCAGGCAACACCAGAGCCAGAGAGACTATGTATAATTGAAAACTGGGCAACACCACTTAATCCATTTCTGGGCCGTCAGAGCTGAACCCTGTCCACAGACCACCCTCACCTGATTCTCTGCAGCTGGTGAGTCCACAGGAGCCTTGATCTTTTAGTGGGGGCTTCAGGCAAAGTGGGGTTTAATGTCTTGCCCATGGACACAATGAGAGCAGACATCAGTGGGAGTCATGAAGTAGGTCTTATGGTGGACTCAAACCCACGACCTTCAGGCCTAAAAGCCAATGCTCTACCAACTGAGCCACTGTCACCAATTCTATTTAAGAAACCACAATTTTAATATTTTCAGAACACATATAGGTCCCCACAGTCTAGCATATATCGAGGTTCAATTCCCCGGCAAACTGGGGTTAAAATAAATGTCACACAATGATTTTTTGTGTCACTGTAACCCACCACACTCCTGTAAGGCCAATCCTCGCCTCGCTGAGAGCCTCTAACCTGAAAACTACCCGCAGCCCCATAATAAGTGTTTTAGAATGACCCTGGATATGATGTGGGCTGGCTGCTTTTATTTTCTCCCTCTGGTGAAGTCGCTGCTGCTCTGAAACCAGCTGTCCCGTTTTATGCTCGAATGAAGCATATGTTTTTGCTGCAGAGGCTACTACTGTGTTTAACGACTGACACAGGCAAAGCGCTTGGCCGACCAGCTTAAGACTAACAGGACTAAAAAGATTAAAGTACCAAGGCTTTCATAACTCGTTGGATGCATGTTTTTTAACACCGCGTGAGTTGTGTGGTCCCTGTGTCTTTTTAATTTTGTTAGTGTTTTATGATTTTTATTGATTTTATAAATTGATTATTGATTTATTTATTTTTTATTCTATTTTTTGTGTACTTTTTTGTGCAGCACTTTGGAACTGTTCTGTTGTTTAAATGTGCTATAGAAATAAAGTGGATTGGATTTTTAAACCATTTTATTCGATTATAGACATCAAAACACATTATGACTGTGTATTTTCCAAGCCCCAAGTTAGAATAATTCAACCCATTCACGGATTCTGGCCGTTCGAAACATGCATGAAATTAGCGAGTCTGTAAACTCAAACTTAAGTGTGCTGAAGTTGGATTAGCATATTGGGCCTGCGGTTTAGCCACAGACCGAGCGGTCCACGGGGACGGCACTACTCGCACACTGCCGGCCTTCTTTAGACGCTGCTGAAGGGATTAGGAGGGTTTTACACACAGGTCAGCAGAGGCCGAGTGAGACTGACTGAAGAACCATTGTGCGTGTCCAGTAAAGATTCTTATTCAAGAGTCATTCCATTTGTCAGTTTGTGAGAATTGACAGAAACAGCAAAAGATGAAGTAATTGTAGATCTATACTAGCCTGGTCTTAGCCGTCTTCAAACCAGTGCGTCTGGTCTTACCATGTGTAAACTCTGGTCCATGATCATCTCCTACATGTACGTCTGGTCTTACCATGTGTAAACTCTGGTCCATGGTCATTTGCTACATGTACGTCTGGTCTTACCATGTGTAAACTCTGGTCCATGGTCATCTCCTACATGTACGTCTGGTCTTACCATGTGTAAACTCTGGTCTTACCATGTGTAAACTCTGGTCCATGATAATTTCCTACATGTACGTCTGGTCTTACCATGTGTAAACTCTGGTCCATGATAATTTCCTACATGTACGTCTGGTCTTACCATGTGTAAACTCTGGTCCATGATGATTTCCTACATGTACGTCTGGTCTTACCATGTGTAAACTCTGGTCCATGATAATTTCCTACATGTACGTCTGGTCTTACCATGTGTAAACTCTGGTCCATGATCATTTCCTACATGTACGTCTGGGTCTGATCCTATTGGCTGCAGTTTCCTCGGTTGAATCTCCTCCGACCAATCAGAGAGCGGGGGAGGCGGGTGTTGTTGGTCGGTGTCGGTGACGTCAAGAGTTTGTGCTGAATTTGTTGGTTGTAGTTTGTCGGAGAATGCGATAGTAAAATAATCTGTTCTGGTTCAATCCAAATATCAAGAAACTGAAGCCGGAGCAAGAGGAATGTTTAGTAAATGTCATTGAAGCAAAGATGTTGTGGCTCTACTCCCCACGGGCTCCGTTAGTGACAAAGGAAATGGCTAAAGCTAGGCTAGATGCTAAAGCTAGGCTAAATGCTCACTCACTCGGGCTCATTACATACGTCACGGTAAACTCAGATCCAATCGTTTCAATCTACAAAAGTAGTTAGCCCCTCCCACCTGTTCACGGAGTCAATGGAGCAAATCCAGACCTTTGTATGAAATAAAATGTGTACAATGGTGCGGTAAGACCAGACGAGGTCTATACAGGTAAATTTCTCCCATGTATCCAGTCCTTCAGTGAGTTGTTTTAGTGGATGAAATACGGAATTTGGACTTGTTTTGGGTCTTATTCAGTGGTTTAGAAACAGTTTTTTCCACAGTCATCCATCCTCAGGCTCATGAATCCATTTAAATGCCTCCTGGATGCCTCAATGGGGGAGACTCAGTGGCTGCCCCTGGATGAGCTGGAGAATGTGTGTGTGGAGAGGGAAGTCTGGGCATCTCTGCTAAAGCACCAGCCACCGCGACCTGGCACGGATAAAGCGGAAGAAAACACATGGATTTAGGCTTTATCCACACGAAGACAAAACGCTTTATAATTTCAGAAACTTTTTCTGTAAACACGGAGTTAGCTCAGTAAATGTGTGCGTTAGGGCTGGGCGATATGGCAAAAAAAAAAAATCTCCGATTTTTTCACACCAAATCCGATTTTCGATTTTAAATCGATTTATTTTTTTCTATTTAAAAACAAACTACAACTGACAAAGAAATAGATTTTCCTTTATGCAGTTCAATCTAAATCCCCATGGAGCTAAGTGTAACAGGAATTAAGCCTTAAAACATGCTTGTAAACGAGATGGCTCTGCCATTGTAAACAGTGAAAATGTAGCTTAACAGTTTTATAATAACTTCACTTACAATGACACTATGCACCTTCAAAATAACTTAAATCACACAAACAAGGCCCATCGCAAATATATCAATCCTATTAAACACATGCATTATTTACATGAAATATCACATTTTTAAAACTGATTACTCAAAATAGAAATGTTGTAACAGACAGTCTTTTCCAAAAGCCTCCTCGGGTTTTCATGCTTGTTCTTTCAACTGTGCCTGAGTAACTGTGCTGTAGTACAACGCTCAGTCCAGCTGGTGGCGCTAATACTAACTTCAGTGACTCCCACATTGTGCGAGCTTCCTGTTTACATTCTGATGCTGTAGCTAACAGCTACTGTAGCAGCTACTGTAGCTAACAGCTACTGTAGCAGCTACTGTAGCTAACAGCTACTGTAGCAGCTACTGTAGCTAACAGCTACTGTAGCAGCTACTGTAGCTAACAGCTACTGTAGCTAACAGCTACTGCAGCAGCTACTGTAGCTAACAGCTACTGTAGCTAACAGCTACTGTAGCAGCTACTGTAGCTAACAGCTACTGTAGCTAACAGCTACTGTAGCAGCTACTGTAGCTAACAGCTACTGTAGCAGCTACTGTAGCTAACAGCTACTGTAGCTAACAGCTACTGTAGCAGCTACAGCTGTAGCTAACAGCTACTGTAGCAGCTACTGTAGCTAACAGCTACTGTAGCTAACAGCTACTGTAGCAGCTACTGTAGCTAACAGCTACTGTAGCAGCTACTGTAGCTAACAGCTACTGTAGCAGCTACTGTAGCTAGCAGCTACTGTAGCTAACGGACAGCGGGGAACACGTTGTTTGTATCAGAGCAATGAGAACAATGTGTGAGACGTGTCTTTCCCCAAAGTGCAGCGGCTCAGTGGGACACGAGTGTGTGCGCGCCACGGACACGGGAGTGCGCTTTGGAATAACGAGCGTGAGAGAGCGTGAAAGATGTGGCGTACGAACATGGCGTATGAACATAACGACCGGAGCCCGCGTGCGTGTGTGTGTGTGTGTGTTCTGGCGATTTAAATAAAGTCTGATTCTTGAACGTTGGAAGTGTTATTGCAACAGCACCAACTGTGAGAGCGAGCATCAGGCCAGAGGGAGACTGTTAGCATTAGGTTAGCTTCAAAATGACTGCTCAACACCATAGACCCGCGGTTAGCGCGTTAGCGCTGTAGTTCTGCGCTGGAGAAAATAAAAATCGAATTTTTAAAAAAAGAAATCGCCCTAAACGTAAAACTCGAATTAATGATTAAAATCGATTAATCGCCCAGCCCTAGTGTGCGTCCATATGAATGTAGTCAATATGCCTGAAAACGCTGTGAAACTATGCCAGACCTGTTGGTGGCGCTGTGACGCAATGACGGGATCAAGCCCAAACTTCCGTGACGGGAACTGGGCATGCGCAGAATTTTGTAAACAGACAACATGGCGAGTGGGCGAGCTGGTACTACATTAGTATGGGCGGACGATGAGGTTGAACTGTTGCTTCGGGTCGCACTGGATTACAAAACCAACAAGCTACATTGTTGTTGTCATTATTTTCTGAGTGCGGCGCATGCGTGCTTTAACAAGAGGCGGGGCGATGACGCAAGCGTCTCAGATACATTGCGGAGAGGCAGTAACCACGGAGCGGCATATACGGAGTTTTGAAATCTTTCCACTCTGGGACCTACTTTCAAAAATGTTCGTTTACACCCCCCCAAAACGCCGGCCTCGTATGGACGATACACTGGATTGATAAAGTATTTTTGCGTTTAGGCCTGAGCTTGACTTCGTGTGGACAGGGCCTTAAAATATATTCTACTTGTTGCGTTTAAAATTGACTAAAATGAAAGGTTGAATGTTGGCGATATGTTCAATTCAATGTATTCTCGTTCAGCCCTAAATCACAACAGTCTCTCGGAGGACTTAACAAAATCGTTGAATTTGGCAAAACAGATCAACAATTCTAACACAAGAAATGCAACAGGGGAAACAGGAGAGCCTTTGGTCCATAAGGGACAGAAACCAATGTCCATAAATGATGATAAATGTCCCAAAAATATTATTCATGTCCATAAATGTCATCAAATGAACATATTCTACCATAATACTCAAACTGTAGTGTTATTCTCTGAACTCTAAACTCTACTGCTTAAAGTACACCCTCTCTCCAGTTTTCTTACTATTTGAGATTTGACTATAAACCACATTTACTCTTAACTTCTTTTTCTCCTTCCTTACTCCTGTGTGGACACGTTTGCAAAGATTAGATTGTGAGATCTGTTGCACTTTGTCATTCTGCACTTTATGAATGCAACTGGCACTTTTCAACTGCACTTTTACTATATATTGCATGTTTATTGTCTATGTTTTGTATTTTAATTAACTCTGCTATGTATTTTAATTGTATTTTTGATTCTATAAGGACTACAGATGGAAATTAGCATTGTGCTAAATCTGGGGCAGCCATCTTTTTAACTCATTGACTGCCACTGACGTATTTATCTGATACCGGTGATTTTTGTTAAACTTCCCTCTCTTTGACTGGAGATTTCTGAAGAACAAAACTAGCTAGAAACCAACTTATTTTTGCTGATGAAAGTAGACGCTCCAATCTTTCGGAACCAGGTTTTATATTTCACACACTCACAGCACACAATATTCTGTGGGTCTTGAAAATCAGTGAAATCATCAAAAACAGCTGGCAGTCAATGAGTCAATGTACCTGTCCGTTGTCCTTTTAAATAAATAACTAAACTAAACTAAACTAGATTCGGGTCTCAATGGAACCATCCCCTATCACTCCCCCTGCCTTCAGCTCAATTGACAAAGACTATATTTTACTCACAACCGTCTGGCAGTAAAAGCTTTTTGAAGCGGCTTTATTTCTGTTATTAGCCTGCCGCAGACTTCATCCATCATGCACCATGTTTTGCCTCAGATTGTGGATGCGTGGTGTAATAACAGGCCTATATCTTTGATCCCATTTCAAAGAGAGAGGTCTCACGTATAGGTTCGCCGGCACGGCCTGAGTGCGGCGGTGGAGGTGTGGACGCCTCAGGGCCCCGGACAGCTGTGAGAGAGAGACACATCACATCTTCCAAAACAAAGCAGCCACCTGCCGTCGCACGCACCCGGACAGGAGAGCATGCTGGGAAAACAAGGAGAGGGCGCTGGGTTATACCTTTAAAGGACAGGTTGACTCTGGTGTGCTGCTGCCTGCGGGATGTGTCGGAGGACGGAGGAGAAGAGTGGCTCTAAGCACAGTGGTTTTTACCTGTGTTTTGAATTTTAGAGTTTTAGAGATTGATTAAAAATGTGCTGTTGAATCTATATCTCTGCTAGAACGTACAGTGTGTGCAGGACAACTGTAGTGGATCAGGGGTATTAAAGTCCAGCCGAGGGAATTGGTGAAAAGATTGCAATGGATTGTGACATTTTGGGACTATACCAATGTTTAAAGGAGCTATACCTGTTTCTGAAATGTTTAGCCCCGCCCCCCAACTCGCTCACAGGCTTCTCATTTTGTCTACGGTGTCCTCCCACGGAGCCATCTAGTTTTATTTGTGATCTGATACGTGCTAACATTAGCTTCTTGTAAGCTGTACAACAATCACAGATGAAATGGTACAAAAGCGACGCACTGCTAACAAAATATATAACTGAAAGATTTCAGCTAGTTTCACGTCTGAATGTAGTCCGAGCGTAGATAGTCCGAGGCGTAGATAGTCCGAGCGTAGATAGTCCGAGCGTAGATAGTCCGAGCGTAGATAGTCCGAGCGTAGATAGTCCGAGCGTAGATAGTCCGAGCGTAGATAGTCCGAGGCGGTCCCGCAGGTCTCTCCCATAGACCAGTCTCTCCAGAGGATACGATGTAAGCTAGCTCTGTTCAGGGCTTGGTTTCTTCTTTGATCATGTTGTGGCTTTAGTTCCTCTTCCTCACTGTTGTGTGGTTTGGGCTGTTTTGCTGTGTCTGCAGTTACAGCCAGAGGAGTTATAGCCACTTATGCTAACATGCTACTGTGTTTAGCAGCGCTGTAGAGGCTAGAGGACGCAGCCTCGTTCTGTGATTGGAGGAGAGCGGGCGTCACGCTAAGTCTCTACTCAGCACTTTTTACGCCTGTATTCATAAACAGCCGAATCAATGAGCTCAAGTTTTCAAGTATTTACGGATTATAATACAACTTGTATGTAGTAATTCGCATTTTTATGAACTCCCCCTACTGGCGTCTCTTTGTACGCACCATCGGCCAATCACATTTTTTTTGCAGATGCAGCAATCCCAGCAATTCCATTGGTTTTTGTTCAGAAAGTACCTGTCAAACCAGTAACTTTGTTTTAATCTTAATGAAAATCAAATCAGAAAATGGAGATTATTGATGCTCAGCTCTAACCACAGATACTATTAGATATTGTACTGTAGTATTTATATATTTATTCAAAACCAATGTATATTATAGACTGAAAACACTGCGAAAACCAACAGTCACTGCCATAATACCCTGCTTTATTGTATTGAATTTTAGTCCATTTTGGATTGTTTTAGTCTCTGTTCTCCAAATATGAGCTAAAAACCGTTCTTCCTCTTTTCTCCCAAAGTCACTAATTCCAGTTTAATTCACCGGTATCCACATAAAGCTGATGTATTACAGAGTGAGATCCCGTGTCTGTGGATGTTTGGTTTGGACTCCAATAGAGAAGACGACGCATGAGGCAAATTCACAATGGATAAGTCATTAATAGATTCTGTTTGATAAAAGAACCGTGAGCAATTAATGTCTGAGCGTTTAATCAGAGAATGCTGTGGCTCCAAATACAGAGGGATTATTCTGATTAACCTCTGTCTTTTGGGTGATTCAGGCTTGTTTGACCTGTTTATTTTCTGCTAAATGAAGGCGGATCATGGCGACAGACTAAATTTACCATTCTAATAATAATGTATTAGTTTTGTACAGCCCTTTACTCTCTAATACACTTGACACGACATTATTCATACATTACATGCTGAACATTGACTGAAGAACCCCTCCCACCACCAACAACCCTTCACACACACACACCAGACTCATTCTAATGGGGGGGAAGTGTCTTGCCCAAGGACACAACCACAGTTTGGTACTTTACAGCCGCAGCCGCCCCACTGTGGCACCTGCTGTTATCCCAGAAGTCTCCCATCACAGCACTGACCAGGCCCTGCCCTGCACATCTCAACATGATCAAAGCAAATTTCAAGTACTATATAAGACACTTTTATTTTGTTTTCTTGGTCTTTTCACCCATTGTGCCAAAAATAATGAATGATGATGATGATAATAATGAAAAGGGCCTGAGTTAGCTTTAATTCAGAATTTTTGTCAAACAATTCTACAGTCAGTGCCATACAGAAAAAAAGAAAAGAAAATACTATAAAAGATGGAGAGAAAAAACTGAAAATATATTGAATAAAATAAAGAGATATTTAAATGGATATGTTTTCTTTCCCAGTCCAAACTAAACATGGAGCGACTGAGCAAGCCGGAGCTGCTGATGCTGTTCAGTGTCCTGGAGGGAGAGCTGGAGGCCCGCGACCTGGTCATCGAAGCCCTCAAGGTAACGCCATCTGGGGCAGGATTATACCTCCTCATTTCCGGGGCAAAAAAACCCCACAAAAAAAAACCATAGAGGCTTCAAGTGTTTGTCAGAGTCAGAGAGCAGCTGTGCTTTGGTCTGTCTTGTGTCATTTACAAAACTCCAGGCAGGTGTCAGATGGTTAAAGGAGTACGTTTAAAAGGCAGGACAGACCACAGAAGCTTCTGGAGTGAAAATGAAAAACTGGTTTAGTTGGTTTTGAAAAGGGTTTGAACAAGTGTGTCAATATGTCTTAGTGAGGCCCTGGTTTGGTTTGCTCATTGCTCTCTGTGCAAATGGTTTGTTTTGATATTCCATGTTACAGTTTATAGTATACAGCTGCAACTAATACGTATTTTATTAGTATTTACAATCAAATTATGTCCCGATCCTGTTTTTATGGCTCTCAATATTTATTTATTTGTTTTTTTTATTATAAAGACGTCATTGTTTATATTTTAGTAATTCTTGGTGCCTTTGCGTCATCTCTAAGTTAACAATTAAAGTATCTGTAACTGATTTATACACAACACTGGTTGGTTTTCTGTGTCTATCTTAGGGCTGGGCGATATGGCTGAAAACTATATCACAATATAAGTCATTCATATCGGTTGAAAACGATTTATATTGATTGTTTTTATGTTGTGTTTTTTAAACCTAAATAAATACATTTGTTGTGTCGGCTAACACATATTAGCAGCGTTTACAGTCACAGGGGAATGAGGCTGGAGGAATATGTTCACAAGCACAGTGTAACCCATAGTTAGTCCTGGTTTAGTCCTGGTTTAGTCCTGGTTTAGTCCTGTTTCGTCCTGGTTTAGCTCCAGTTTTGGCTGTTTTCAAGCGTCTTGTGTCCCAGTGACGGCTCCGGAAAAAGTTAATCTCTTGCTTTCGTCGAATGCATCGAGTCTCTTACCCGCTGCCTCTGCCGCCGCACATGCTGATCTATAGATCCATGGACGCTACACATGGTGCGGTTGTTGTTTTTGCATTTCCCAGAATGTTTTGCGGTTCCTGCCCGACTGTGAGAAGCCTCTGCCTACATCCCCCAGAATGCCTCGGGCTTCTGACTCTGCTTTACTTCCTGTGTTTTCTTCCCGTTTTTTCTAACGGAGTGAAGTTGAACTATCGAACATTCTATCGACCCCATACTGACATTGAACGCGTGTCTATCGCAATATATATCGTTATCGTTTTATCGCCCAGCCCTAAACGACAGTAACTAGATTTAACTGTGTCCTTTCAGAGCAACACTAGCAATGTAGAAAAGGCAAGAATCTCTTTAGTCATCCAAAGCCCTCCCACTTTTTGCAAATATGAATCTCCTCCCAATATTTTTGTGAGCTATTGTATTTCTTTTTCCAACTATCGCGCCGTTCTATCCCCAAAACGTCTGAGTCTCTGAATGAGTGTTGTGTCTCGGCCACATTCCTCCATCTCTCCTGGGATATGACCATCTAAGGCCAGAGCAGAGTGGAGCACACCGGGCGCCTGATGACTCAGTAGGAGAGAACAAATAAACACTGGCTTTAAGTGGAGCTGAGGGCAGGCTGCGTGTGCGTCGCTTAATGCCACAGGCGGTTAACTCTTTCAGGGCTGAGGTCACCGGCGAGAAGTGTGTCAAACATCTGGCTTTGCTCCGAAAAATAAACCCCCAAGGAGATTGCTGAATGGAAAGTGTAAGCGTCGGATAAAGAATAGTTTGTTGAATTATTGCACTCGGCAATTTTGCTCAAAATAATGGAAGAGTGTGATTTAAATGACTGAGGATTGTTTTAAATTCTCTGTATTTTCACTTTGTCCTTGTTTGTTTCCACTGTGTGTATTTCTTTACATTAGACAGGTATATACTAGCCTGGTCTTACCGCACCATTGTACTCATTTCATTTGGTACTAAGGTCTGGATTTGCCCCATTGACTCGTTAACAGGTGGGAGGGGTTAACTCCTTTTGCAGATTGAAACGATTGGATCTGAGTTTACCGTGATGTTTGTAATGCACCCGAGTGAGTTGTTAGCTTTTAGCCTAGCTTTAGCATTTAGCCTAGCTTTAGTCGTCTCCTTTGCCACTAACGGAGCCCGTGGGGAGTAAAGCCACAACATCTTTGCAGCAATGACATTTACTAAACATTCCTTAATTTCTTGATATTTGGAGCTGAACCAGAACAGATTACTTCGTTTGGAACGGATCACATTATCAGCATCACATTCTAATTTTGGTTTTTAAGTTAATTTAGCGGTACCGACAAGCTGTAATTGACCAGAACACATTTGTTGAGTCCTCATAGTGTGAGAGATCCGTGGGGTTAACACAAGACTGATGCCTTTAGGAACTATTGCATGGAAAGGGTCGGCTTGGCTTTGGCTTGGCTTTGGTGAAATACTGTGGCCAGAGGTGTTTGAGAAGTTACCTCTGTTTTTAGGCGGAAAAGTAACAGGATTATGGGGGGAAAAAACCACCATACCTTTCTGCCTGCCCTAGCTGCTAAGGAATTCACCAAATCAACTATTTTTAGTCACACTCATAATACGACAGAACTTACTGTAGTTTTCGTCTGAGGAGAAGAGTCATACTGTGTTCTCCTTAAACCTGTTTGTCACACCCCGGAGTCATGTGAACGATGATTACCAAAGCGATGACTGTAGTAAATGCAGTCGTCTGTGTATTTGCTCATCTGGAATATACAGTGCTTTGCGAAAGTATTCGGCCCCCTTGAACCTTTCAACATTTTGCCACATTTCAGGCTTCAAACATAAAGATATACAATTTTAATTTTTGTCATGAATCAACAACAAGTGGGACACAATCGTGAAGTGGAATGAAATTTGTTGGATAATTTAAACTTTTTTAACAAATAAAAAACTGAAAAGTGGGGCGTGCAATATTATTGGGCCCCTTTACTTTCAGTGCAGCAAACTCAGTCCAGAAGTTCAGTGAGGATCTTTGAATGATCCAATGTTGTCCTAAATGACTGATGATGATAAACAGAATGCTCCTGTGTGTAATCAAGTCTCCGTATAAATGCACCTGCTCTTTGATAGTCTCAGGGTTCTGTTTAAAGCGCAGAGAGAACCATGAAGACAAAGGAACACACCAGGCAGGTCCGAGATACTGTTGTGGAGAAGTTTAAAGCCGGATTTGGATACAAAAAGATTTCCCAAGCTTTAAACATCTCACGGAGCACTGTGCAAGCAATTATATTGAAATGGAAGGAGTATCAGACCACTGCAAATCTACCAAGACCCGGCCGTCCCGTTTAAGTTAAATGTAGTTCTGCTCAAAGAACACTGACAATCCCTCATATTTAGATTCAAGAGTTCACTGTTAGAAGTGTCCCTGGGCAAGGTCTTTTTCTGTCAAAAATCACTTCAAATTTCAATAACAGAAACATTACAGTGTCTTTGAGATCACACAGACCTATTCTCTATTTCATTGGGAGTACCAGTAGATTAGCCATCAGTAAACGCCGCTCAATGATCGTTTCCTACATGTACGTCTGGTCTTACCATGTGTAAACTCTGGTCCATGGTCATTTCCTACATGTACGTCTGGTCTTACCATGTGTAACCTCTGGTCCATGATCATTTCCTACATTTACGTCTGGTCTTACCATGTGTAACCTCTGGTCCATGATCATTTCCTACATTTACGTCTGGTCTTACCATGTGTAACCTCTGGTCCATGATCATTTCCTACATTTACGTCTGGTCTTACCATGTGTAACCTCTGGTCCATGATCATTTCCTACATTTACGTCTGGTCTTACCATGTGTAACCTCTGGTCCATGATCATTTCCTACATTTACGTCTGGTCTTACCATGTGTAACCTCTGGTCCATGATCATTTCCTACATGTACGTCTGGGTCTGATCCTAGTGGCTGCAGTTTCCTCGGGTGAATCCCCTCCGACCAATCAGAGAGCGGGGGAGGCGGGTGTTGTAGGTTGTGTCGGTGACGTCAGATATCTAGATAAAGGGAACTATCAATTCTACCGTGACCGTGACCTGTTTTATTAGAGCAGCTCCTTCTTTGGAGGTTTTTTTTAATCTAGCCTAAAGCCACATATTTACACCTTGACTTTTAACACCAACTGGGTTTTACTTTTTACATGTATTAGTGGGTATTGAGAATAGAATCATGAACTCTAACGCTGTGACCTTTTCTGTTTAATTACACCGCAGCCCTGTCAATGGCATCCCAACAATCTGCCTTATTTCCCCTTCTGTGAGTCACTCTGCAGCTGGACTCTTCTGGTGCTGTGGCTTTGAAAAGGAAGTGCACTTTCTGGTTTAGCTCCAGCGACTCGCTCCGATCCAGAGAGCCCTTTTTGCGTTTGGGGAAAAAAACACAAGACTTTTAAGTTGAAAGGGGCTTAAATATAGAAAATGACCCTGTAATTTAACTGCAAATGATGCTGTTCGGGCAGGTTTATATTAATGTGGGATTTTACAGAAGAGCGACAGAGAATCAGAACCAAAGAAAACATTATTGAATCTCTTTACATGTGGATATGTATTTGACTGAGCCATTGTTATGATAACACTGCAACTGCTTTGTCTGACAACAACAGAAAACAATGTAGTACTAGTGCCCGGCCAGTAGGGGGCAGTGGAACTTAACGCGATACACGCGACCCCCAGCAGTAGAACCACTTCCTCAACAACATCCTCCTCAGGCCAAAGACGGGAAAGAACCAACATCATTCTCTAACAGCAGCAGTGTAATGTGAAAGTACAGAAACCAGAGAGAGACCAGAGAGAGACTAGAGAGAGACTAGAGAGAGACCAGAGAGAGACCAGAGAGAGACCAGAGAGAGACCAGAGAGAGACCAGAGAGAGACCAGAGAGAGACCAGAGAGAGACCAGAGAGAGACCAGAGAGAGACCAGAGAGAGACCAGAGAGAGACCAGAGAGAGACCAGAGAGAGACCAGAGAGAGACCAGAGAGAGAGACCAGAGACCAGAGAGAGAGACCAGAGACCAGA